TATAATAGTGTTCAGCTCTTGTATTTGAAAATGTTTAACCGAGGGGCCAATTTCTTAATGAATTAAATATATATTTTCTTGGCAATTACAATCTGAAATACATTTTTGTACGCAGTAAAAATCTAATAACGCTATGAACATTCGTCTATGTATAAATCAGTACGGGTTGATACAGTACGGATCCTTTGGATCATCCGGACCCTCTTGGTATTTAACGTAAGTCTCTTTGCTAGTGAAATCTCGCTTATTCTCCGTCTTTCCTCTAGGCGGTGCTTCCTCGTACTTATACATAGACTCCAATTCTCCAAAACGCATTGCATCTTCTCTGATATGGTCCCTAAATCGAAGTATATACAAAATAATTATTTCCAATACTATTTATAAGTGATCAATTATTTACGAACGAGGTGAAGTATGTACCTGTATCTTCCAGCGACAATTTTCTTGCCAGTTACAGGGTCAGTCATATCGCCCAATGGATAAATGACTTCGACAATCTACGAGAAATAAAAAAGGAAGCATAAAAGTTGTATATGCGTTTGCCGAGGCATCGACAAGGTACGTACTTTATGTGTAATATGGCGTGTTAATTTCTCTGGTAAGGTCTTTATCAACACCGTGTCGCCGGTTTTACACAGTTTCTCAGGATCGGCAGCGAAAACGAAATCATACTTCCTGAAATACTGTAATGCATCAAATGAATACGTGATCAAGCGTTTGTAAGTAGAGGATATTCTAAGTATATTTACCATTGAAATGTGTTCGTCCAGTTCTAAGGAACGTATACGTATTTTAGCAGCATTCTGCTTCGGCGAAGGTACACAAACACCTAGTAAATAAGTAAATGCTTTCTTGGTTACGTTTCCCGTAGCCATTTCAATTCCTCATGTGGTGCTTTATACCGCAATATTATTGACGGTACCCCAGGAAAAGATGTTTAAATCTCGGTCGTCCTGTTAGAGACGTGAAAATATTAAACAAAATGTAGCTGGACGTTCGATCTGATATTTAACAGCGAATCCACGGGGGCACGTCGAAAGCTTTATGGGATGTTCGAGGTCGAGAGGCCAAACGCCTGTTCGGAAGTAATCTAAAGCGCAATCGTCTGTAAAGATTTCTGTTCGTCTGTAAAGACTGTTGTTCCTGTTTTGGTTAGAGAGGTGTGAGAACTAGTATCGATAGTACGATATATATCATTCTCGCGGCCTTGCACACGGATGCGTGCTGATCGGAACGAACATTTGGGTTAGATAATCCAAAACGCAAAAACGGTTATCTTCGCTTAAAGAAATTTTCAGTTCGGTACGTGAGAACCGTGAATCGGGCGGTAAAATGATACGCGTCCGTCGTTAGTTACGAGGCTGAGTTCTTATTGCTGTTCGCGTTCACCGCTGCGAGTAGCTCGGCGCGAAATGGTAAAACCGTAACCTACGAGACACGTCAATCTTTTCAGATGCTTTGCTTCAAACATGCGAGAAGAACGGACTCCCGGACACTGCTCGACTTTATCACGAGGAGCAATTACTCCAGACGTAGTGACAAAAGCACGAATACCTACAAGGTCGTGCAAACGAATGGTGAAAACTTGGATGGTAAGCGCGATACGAGAGTCCCTTGCCTGGTACTCGTTGGTGGATCGTTCAGTTCGTCTCACGTTTCGGATTCTGTTCAGATGTGGACGGTACCGTTCTCGGAATAAATTCTAATTGGGAGCTACTGACACCCAGAGGATTCAGGTTTTATTTACCGGGCGGCATTGGCCCTGGCTGGTCGGATGTCACTACCACAGTTCAAGTCAGAGCACAGCTAGTTGACTTTTGTAATGACAATGAACGAATTTCGGTAAACGATACAAAGGAAAAAGCAGCTCGTCGGCTCGGTCGATTGAAAAACTGCAACCAAATGCTCCATTGCGTCGCCCAAGAATGCCCTTTGTTATTGCGGAAAGGTGTAGAAGAGCTGTTCCCTGGATGTCTAGACGTTGGCTCTCCGCAGCTCACCATAATCACCGTTAGTCAGTCGATCAATGCTAAAGTCATGAGATGGAACAAGGAAATGGAAACTGAGAAACTAGCCAAACGCGTAAGTACATTCGTAAAACCACCAGCTCTAAGGAAAATTTATTATTCATTGTTTCCTCCGGCAGTTCGTATTAGCAGCTTCAGATATTTGCGCGAAATTGAGGCAAATGGGGTATTGGGCAGACTTTATCAATCCGTTCAGTGGTCAGCCGCATTTGAATTCGCAAAAGAACAGTACCCTTTACAAGACCGACGAGCGATTCCGTTGCTTAGGATTTAAAATATTACATAGAAACAATTGTAAAGTTATTTTATACGATAATAACGTGAAGAATTTTCTTGGTAAGTTTGCCTGGAATCTTCGTTGAAAGTTTATTGATTCGTTTTACAAATTGCTGTTCTGTACATTGTAGGAAGTCTCTACACCACGGCGCCTGCTAGTACAGAGTTTTTAAAAGAGATCTTACGGGACTGCGATTTTGTAAATCTTAACGAAGCTTAATAATAGACGGGAACGGAGGGAGGGAGGAGATTTTAGAAGAGTGATGAAAGGAAAGAGAAGTGTCCGGTATAAATATCTTTATTTCTGTCGTCGAAAAATAACATTACAGTTCGTCAAAGATGTAGCATAAATTTCTTGTGTTCAGTTGTATTGTATGATTCTAAGAAGAAATATCGTTCGATACAATTGCCAACCGGCTCTCTCTCTCTCCCTTTCGCGTTATGCTCCATTGTTACGGTTAACGTGTTAAAAGGAAGAAGGAAATGAAATTAATTCTCTAAGGGATGCATAGCGCGTGTTACGTCTTACTCTTATATTAACGATGCGTGTCGCTGAAAAGATCATAGGTAACTGATACCACCGGCACGAGGCTCCTGATACACCGAGATAAGAATAAATATTTATCTAAAACGAGTTAAGACTGGACATACTCTCGCGCTGGGCGCGAGACGATCGGAAGACAGACGTGTTCTCCGGCGATTAACGTCAGTCCACTTCTAGCTTACGAAAGGAGCCAGAGATACCATTTAAATCGTCGTTCGTAGCGTACTGACTGTCGACCGACGAGTCGATCTCTATGTACATGTCGTCGAGCTGCCTGATTCGATCCCTTTGCTCCCGCAACGTTTTCTTGAAAGCAGCTGCGGAATAGAAGACACGTGAAACAAATACTTGTGGAGATCGTATTCCAGCGGATACATACCGATCATCTCGTTGAGCGGCACTTCGCCGCCGTATTCCTTCGGCAGGATCTTAGGATCGATCGTGCCCTTCAAGTCGTCCAGACTCTTGTGCAGGAGGATCCGATTTTTCAGCTTCTCGTTCAGCAGCGAGATGCCGAACTCGATCACTTTAACAGCGCAACTCGGGATGTTGACGAAGTGGGTCTCCTTGTGTCTCATCGGCGTACTGTTCTGAATGCATCGCAACATGTTACGAATGTCCGTGAGAGACCACGCGCTCAGATGACCCATCGTCAGTCCGGACTCGTCGTTGATGTGCGTGTAGCCGCGGACTTGATTCTCTTCGTCGTCCATCAGCGCTTCCACTATCAGGCTGTGAGCGCGAGCCATTTGAGCGGACGTGTATTTGTACGGATCGAACCGACCTGAGGAGAGAAGAATTTATATGAAGGAGATCCGCACTATGAGAATCGGATTCTTTCTAATGAAACTTACCGGCACACGACAGTATTACTCTTCGGCCATATCGATCGCGTTCCATCAACGGGACCAAGTACCCAGCGTCGACTATGGCCTCGATGTCCGGATCTTCGATGTCAAGATTCTGGAACCAGTTCGGATACATCTGTCGGATGGTCAGGTAACGCTCAAGCATTTCTTCTGCCATCGGCACACTGAACTTCTTCGTTCTAAGGAATCTAAGGAGAAACGCAGCATCCGTTCTGCAGCGTTTGATGCTCGGATGCTTCTGGATCCAGTGTCTGACTTGATTCAACGCCTCGATCCTCGTGGCATCGTCTTCGCGGAGTTCGTGGCGAGCGATCATCCTCGTGGCCTCGCTCAGCTCGCAGCCGTAATCCTCTTCAGTTCGCTTGGCCATCGCCGCTGGAAAGAAAACCAAGATAGGACCCGCTTTCTCCGCGACCCGGCCCGCGGCTCTCCGGTCTCCCCACCAGATACTCTTCCTACCACTTGCGCTGGTACTCCTTCTCTCACCTCTTCAACCTTCAAGTGCTGTCCCCTTGTCCCCCTGCGCTGTTCCCGCGTCCCCGTTTCGATCGTTCGAATTTCATGCGAACTATCAGACGATTGCGAGATGCGACTAGTTCTTACGCCACTAGACCGTACAGGAGAAAGCCGCTCATCGATCCACTTACAATAGATCCAAATTGTCCTCGCTTCGTCTACTGTGCAGCACTTCCGGAGATCAGCGGTGCAAATCTTTCTCTAACTATATTTTCACGTCCGCGTTATGCGCGTTTGATGGTGAACGTTCTCCGGTGTCTTTCAACCACGCACTCTTTGTAATCGCAATTTTAAAATCACACATGCCATTTAAATTCAAATGTAACTACGAGGTAGCACTGTTCTAAAGATTGTTCCGATCGATGTTGAAAACGGATTTGTGAAACGGGTCGCGACGGGGAACGTTGCACCTCGACCAACTTGGATCCGAGTAACCCGCTTGCTTGCTCGTCCGATCATTTTAAAGCCAGATACGCTCTTACCGCTCCTTCCGCTTTTGCCACTCTTACCGCCGCCGCTGCTCTCGTTCTAGCCAGTACGTGTAACCACCTTCCTTCCTCTCCTCTCTTTCAATTCGGTTTTCAAGTATGACACGCTCTAATCAGACGGTATACTCCCTCGCGTTTCGAAACGGGTCTGTTATCGGGAATTTGTTCTATCCTGATGATAATCGAAATGAAACACGAGCGCAGATACTTTTCAAATTTGATTCAAGGATAGATCGTGTCAAAAAGGACAAAGTTCAGCCGTCCGTTTTGGAGCGTTCAAGATATTTTGATCGCATTTCATCTGAAGTACGATCGGATTCTACTTTTGATTAATTGACCGGATGACTCATTCACGAAAAGTCTTAACTTCGCCTTAACCGAGGGATTCGCTTTCTTTTCGTAATTCTCCGTGTTACTTTCACCGCGGGATCCACTTTCGGTCGGGTCTACCGAGCATCGAGGCTACGTTACAGACTTACGAAACGATATTTATGCAAAAGGCCAACGGAACCTGCCGAGTTATATCTATGCATTTACTATGATAGAATCGATCGTAAGCGCGCATTCGATACGGTGTATACAATAAAACTTGATCCCTCGGGGGAATAGTTAGGCACAGAGGAATAGTTACCATTAATTATCATACGTCTGCATAGAAGTATAGATTCTTATACCTGTCATTCTACTTGGTCCAAATGGACTCTGTACCTTCACGACCTTTACATCAATCCGCTATTATCCTATGTAACTCATTAAATATCGAAATTAGAAGAAGAATGCACTATTTTTAATTATAGGAAATGCGTTTTTTTAAGGTACATAAACTTTTGGGATTGACTGTCTAGCCAATACATCCTTAAAGCGAATTCCATAGAATTTGCATAATCTATATGGCCAATGGTCCAAGAATAATTGCAAATAAAGCACCTTGTCTCGTTTCAAATTTCCTTTTTGGCTGAACGAATTTGAAGTATACGTTTCTTTTGAAATTCTCTCATAGAATCCTGTGGACAGGATTTATTAAATTGTTTGCGATTGTTCGTTACGCATGACCGGAGTTTCTATCCACGTTCTGCTTGCGCAATCGGTCGGGTACGTTTTTCGAAACGGAGAAAGTTCCGTCCTGTCTCTATATCCTGAGTCTTGCTGCTGCCTTTCTACTTTTTCTTGCCTCGCGTATACTTACACAAAGGTACACGACGTGTACGTACGTCCGCACTTTCTCGAACCGGGTGGGCAAAGACGAGAGAAAACGAAACAAGATGAAATAGAATTAATTCCGATATCTAAGGGACGTAATATCGGAATTCGGAACGAGCGATCTTAACATCTATTGTGAAAATCAATAATCATAATTTAGGAATTTCTCGAGGATAGGAATGAAAACAGACGAAACACTTGTTTCTCCAAACGAAATATATTTATTAACGTTGTACACGTACGTAAGTACATTCGAGCTCCATCAACATCGACCATTTGTACATTGTACCACATCCTACCCGGCGATCGACGGATACCAAATTGTGAAAATATTATTTCTAGATCCATTGACCGAAAGTAATTTTTGTATAATATACATTTCCTGGTGTGCATGCGTGTGAATTACTGGGAATATGTATGCCTGTATAAATGGATCAAGATTGCGATATACAGAATCGTTGGACCATGAGTGTCAGGATCAGTTTCGGAGTTCGCTGCAAGTAAATCTTGGAACGTCTGGAACGTGTTTTTCAAGGTGGTTCCGAGATTTGACTATGGGAAAACGAATTCCAATAACCGACGCCGTACACGTCTGTAGAGTCATCTGAGGATAACGTTATCGAAAGTCAGGTCCCTACTGTCGCGTTGGGTGGTGGACTTTTTAAACGGGTTCCACGGTAATTTCTTAGTGACGTGAGCGGTGGTCACAGAACCGGCAGGACTCGGCTGACCGGAAGAGATACCGGAAGAGCTGCTAGCCGAAACGCTTCCTTTATCCTGTTGATTGGTCTTATTCGGTTTCTAGAATCCGTAACAGGTCTCTGGTTATAAGACGGATTTCTTTAGACTCGGAGCGACGACCCTCTACCGTTCACCGTTTTACCTTTAAGTAATTTCTGTCCATTGGCGTGACCAATTTTAAGTTGATGAAATCGCCGGACTGCTTAATCAGGCGAACGACTTGCTCGTGAGAAGCCCATTTCACGTCCTTGTCACCGATGCCCACTATAAAATCGCCTTCCTTCATGCCGCCCAACTGGAAACAGCGGAACAATCGATCAGCAACTTTCCGTCGATGATAATTTACGCGAGAAAGTGGTCTTACGTCGGCTAGAGAATTATGATCGACCGCAGCTATTATTACGGGAGCATCTCCTCGGACGCTGAATCCGAAACCTTCCCCGTCAGGACCTCGTTGGAGTTGTATCAAACGCGGCGCAGTCCAATGCCTCTTAGCTGAAAATATAGCTACCGGACCCAGCGACCTGAAGAGATCTTCCACGCCGTGTTGCCCAAAATCCGGATGAGTGATGCTCAGTTGAAATTTTGTAGACGCTATACCAAAAGTACGAAACCAATATAAAAGTTTCTGATTCCCTTTATCCTCTTCCGCGCTGCCTTACCTATGATATCCGGAGGATCCAACAGTCCCCGAAAATCATCTTCGTCTCCGATACCATTATAGCTCTCGACGGTCGATTCTTGCACCCTTCTCAAAACTTTGGCGAGCGCTTGTTTGGCCTTCAAATCTCTGCACATCCGTTGCAGTCTTTGGCTCTCCTCGTGCAAGACCAAAGCTTCCCTCAGATGTGCCTTACCTAAATCGCATACGATCAAAATCAATGATCGTGAAATCCGGCTAATCCGGTTCTAGGATCGTCAAAGACTACGCACCCAACAATTTCCTCTCATTTTCATCTCGCGGCACAACGATATCCAACTGCGTCTTCCCGTCGCTCTTCTGAACGTGCTCGAGCGCGAGCTTCGTTTCCGAACGCCATTCGGACACCGGCCGATCGAACAACCCTAGCGCGACATGTTTATGAGCCAGAGCTAAATGGTGTTCGCGTTTCACCAATATCAACGAGACCCACGTCTCCGGGACATAATCACGTACTGGCTCGCGCGAGATCAATCCATGGACGTCGTTATACACGGCCGCGACCTAAACGATCAATGGAAGTACGTATAAGGAAAAGTTCAGAAGATCCCATGAGAAAATTTCCTACCTGTGACGCTTCTTGCGCAAGATCCAACGAAACGTCGATGTTCCTGCCATTCTTCGATTGAAGTTCCAGCTTCTCGAACAGACATTCCCTCGCTTGAGCCTGAAACGGAAAGAGGAGCGAGACCTCGCGTCAGCCCTGATCTTGATTTACGGCTAACTGAAAGCTTGTCTGTAGTACAGGTACGAACGCGGCGTTACCAGCATCAGTTGAACGAGCATCTCGAGCATGTCCGGGCCGAGGTCCATGCTCGGCGCGTTGGTGAAGTTCTCGTGTATGTAACGAAAGGTACCAGCGGCACGGAGGAACGCGTCTATCGCCTGGTCCAAACCTCGCGCAGAAAGACGATCCTGTTTGGCAGCGTATTGAGTGTAAAGCGCGGCCGCGTTGAAGAGAATTGACGCCTTTTCGAACGCTACTGTCCGCTGGCAACTCGGAACTCCTGTTAACGAATCGAACCACTCGAAATAAATGCCGAGGCTCCGGTCCGGAGGAAAGAACCTTCTCTCCACGAAATATAGTTGGTTGTAGTAACGCAGCAGCAGCGCGATGCCTGCAGAATCCCTGGTCGGGGTTCGCGTCGCCTTAAAATACGAATATTAAATATTAATTGAATCTAGTATGAATGTATTAAACGTTCGTTGCGTTACCTGTCGCGTTTCCATGAGCTCCGCGATGGCCTCCTCGTAATTGTTACCATCCTCGCTGTAATGCTCAAGGATGAAGTCCTGAAACAGCACATGACATAATTTAAGGATGTATTGGCTATACATATAGTCAATCCGAAAAGTTTATGTACCTTAGAAAACCGCATTTCCTATAATTAAAAATAGTGCACTTTTCTTCCAATTTCGATATTTAATGAGTTATATATGATTATATGGCATTTTATTGATGTTGACAAAATCCGACCATCCCAGCGTCGAAACAGCCAACTTTTGGAAAAAGATTTCGTTTTTTGTCAATAACTCCCAAACGGATGGACGTAGGGGGGCGTATGTA